CATTTTACAACGTACCCCATGAAGAAATTTGTAGCCATACTGAAAAAGTCCAATTTCACAGAATCTGACTGGCGCTTGAGTTATTTGTAATATATATATATATATAGAAGCTGTGATATCTATATTAATATAACAAAGTATTTTTAATGTATATCTTTCATTTCTTATTTACTATCTCGCATTTTTGCGTAAACTACATATAAGATATTTATTATTTTTATTATGGTATAAACTATATATATATATATATAAGTAAATCATAATTTATGTTAATAATCTTGTATATATTAAAACTTACATTTTCTCGAGCATTGATATCATAAGTAGAATATGGTATTTTGTTTATTAAATTTCTTGTCCCATTCGTCTAAAATCGGAATATGCAAAATAAAATTTGAATAATTCTTAAAATTCAAAAATCCTATGTAAAAATTTCATATTATCTAATAGTTAGATAATTGTTGAAAAAAAATTACGTTTTGAGAATGAATGCAAAATACCTTGATATTAACCATTTCGCATACATAATTAATGAAGTAGAGTTTCAAAATGTTATGACAAAGAAAAAATAATATTACAACAGCGTATAGTGTTTTATTAAATTTAATATAATTGTCAATGAGTATTGTATTAAAAAGTAGACGCAAATCAAACGCTAGCCAAAAGAAATTACATCCCATTTTGAAAGTCATCTGTACTCCAAATATTGAATCTACTTCTCGAGATATTTTACGTAATTCCGAATGAAGATGTCTACAAACACAATATTAAATTTTACTGCTCAATACAATTAATAGAATTACGTTAATTTTCTTACATCATTATCCATATCAACCATTTATTACTTAAAGTTTGTGGAATTCTATGTTGGAGAATAGAATTTTCCCAATCTCGCTTTATTTTATATTCTTTATCTGTTGTTAAATTCAAAAGATGGTGATTAACTTCATCAAACTTTAATCCTATGTATCTAGAAATGTGAAAGGAAACTTGAGTAAGGTAATAAATACAAATTTATTATCATTTTGAATATTAATATAGTAAAAAATTTTGAAAAAAGCTTTTATTTTTATGCAATACAATTTAGTTTTATGAATTTACACATGAATGTATCAGATTTATAGACATAATAATATGTCTATGATCGGATAATTTTTATATACTTAAAATGATATACCAACCCAAAAATGTTTGCAATGATCAAGTCATTGATCATATTAATATACGAACAATAACTTCGCACAAAGACAGCATACATAGATGTTAAAATATCATAGTTAAACTCGTTTTTTATCCAAAATGCCACTCCACAAGTCACTGTTATAACCAATAAGAACCATCCTGTGATGAGACACATTGTTTCTTTGTATAGCTTGTGATAATCTGTTATTGTTCCAACATTTCGTAATATACTATCCACAATATCGAGCTTTTTCAAACAATTTCTAAATTTCTGTCACAAAGAGACAATGTGGTGGACAAATAATTAATATTTACAATTAATTTGATAATTTTATGTGTGGCTGATTTTATATAATTAATAATGTAACTTATTTAATGTAGTTAATAGCTATTTTTCGAAAAAGAATTGTAAAGTATGTCAATTTATATATTTTCTTATACTAATAATTATAATAATTAGTATTTATAATTAGTTGCATAATTTCATGTATAATCAATAAAATACATCTGACTCTAATATAACTTATTAATATAACTAAAATAGCTATAATTTTTTTCAAAAAAGAATTACAAGATGTATATGTTAATTTTATACATTTTCTTATATTTTATATGCAACAAATTATTAAATTAATAAATTATTATTAAATATCAAGAAGAGAAATTTTTATATATAATTTGTAATACTAATATAACACATGTACTTAGAATATTGCGTATCTTTGTAACAATTTGTTTTACTAAAGGGATAAGTATTATTTAAAACTTTTGTAATTACTTTAAATATCAAAAATAGTCATACACACAATCAAAATTGGTAATTATTAATACACAAATAATTAACAATTCTTTATCATACATACCTTATCATAATACACTCCGAATACAATTGACAATAATGCCATTAAAATATCTAGACCAATGCCTATTTGATAGATGATAGTATAATGTTCATTATTAAAGTAATATATTACTGTAGAATTAAATAAGAAGAAATAAATTGACCAAAATAGCAGCATATACAAGAGACTGAACCATATTCTCGAATAACCTACAGGAAATTCGATAATACTTAAACCGGACACATAACTGATTATCAAGAGCGGTTTTAAAACTGTTCGAATGCTTTTAGTCATCATGTATACTGTTTCGATTTCGAACTGCATTTCATTTGCGGACTGGTTGTGCTAGCTTCATCATATGATTATAATCTTCGTAATTTCAATTAAGGCATTTACAATTGAAATATAGATCTGTTTAGATACAACATTTAATCTGTTTATATGCGATATATATTTAAACAGTTCGAATAATGAATGATGTAATCTTCTTTTTAGATAGAATGTACTAGAATGTACTATCATAGAATGATAAATATAATTATATTCATTACATATTCATAAAAGAAATATGAATATTTTTCTTAACATTTTTACTTTTTATCTCTTTATACAATGCTATATATTGAAAAATATTATCAAATAATGAATGATAGTGTCTATTTTAATCAATATGTATTTTAATCAATAACCAATTTGTTTGTAACGTATAATGTTTTAAAAAAATTTATGTTATATTTAAAAGAATTTATATTACACATCAATTATTTTAGGTCAATGTCCATTTAAGATTTTTTATGTATTATGTTATTTTTACAATTTATTTAATATATTTTTATCAATCTGAGACTGTATTAATATAACTACAACAGTCATGACAGATGTGGTAAACTGTAAAAATAAAAAATAGTATTTTTTTAAATATTTGTGTATTTAATATACATATAATCAAAATTATTTATTAAATGCAATTAATTGACAATGCCTTATCATACGTACCTTATCATGATACACTCCGAATTGAAATAATGTTATCAAAATGTCTAATCCAATGCATATATGGTGTTCGGCATTATAATGTTCATTACTAAAGTGAGATATTATTATAGATTTAAATAAGGAGAAATAAATTGACCAAAATAGCAGCATATATAGGAAACTAAACTACCCAGGTAGCACATATTCGTTTCAAAAACGTTTCACAAATGTTTCTTCGAAACGTTTTATAACCGACTCTTGAAAACGTTAAGAGACGTTTTTTTTCTAATAAAAAAATGTTTAAAAAATGTTTAAAATACGTTTAAAATACATTTTTTTTTTTTATTCGTAAAACATTTGGTTTTTACGGAATTAATAAAGAATGTATTCATACACACATTCTCTAAAAATGAATCAATATACTGAAAACAGTAAATAGAGTTACTGATATACAGTTGATATGCAGTTATAAGTTATTATAGCACAGTGAATCGACACACATACGTTTCTTCTTTAGTATTTAATATAAACATCTTTTTACAACATTATTAAAATATATTATTAAAACACATTTTTAGCTCCAGAATATATAGACTTTTATTTAAAATATTTAAAACATATTTTTTTGTGTGTGTATTATACATATAAATTACATTCTGAGTATTATTTCTCAACGCTTCTTGAAGTTAATTACATAACATTGCATTCATTGCAAATCTTAATATGTTATATTTACACGTATAAATGTCTAAATTAGATGAAGCTCTTTTTATACGTTTCCTGCTGCATAACTTATATATACATGATATATTTTAATTTAATATATTAAAAGTGTTAATTGATCATATTTAAATTCATTAATTTAATATATTTAAAATATATAGGTTTCAAATTAATGGTACATTACAATAGATAGAATGCTTGTTTAAAATTTATAAAAATATATTTATATTTTTTACAAAGAAATACACATTATTTATTTTTTCTTATTCTAAATAACCTTATCAGTTTATATCTAACTTTGGAATTAAAATTAAATGATTATTAGAGAGAAATAGAAAAATTAAAGTTAGAAAAATAAAACAAAATGTTAAAAAGAAATAAAATGTTCATAAGATAAGTTTTTTAAAATAAAAGAATATATAAAATTAAAAATTTTATTTATATTTACATACATATTAGAACATAAATGTTAAATAGATGATGATTTATTTTACATCTTTAATATGTAAAGAACAGATCATTTTCGTTTATTCGCCGAATATGTCCAACTTATAAGTTTGATTTAATATCTGAAATTCCTCTGTTGAGGTTATATCAGAAATTAAATAGAAGTGATATTTTTAATTTTATCTGTCGTCTTCTGCAAGCTTTATATAATTCTCATGACTAAAACTTAGGTACGAGAAAAATAACGCACCGTAACGGTAAATAAATGCGCAGCCAGACAGCTGGAACCGAACTCAGCTGACAGTCGTTGTTTATAAACAATCTTTCTTGCCGATGGGGTTCGGACAACGGCAGGGGCGTGACGACTCGGGCGCGCACGTAACAATATATAAAAAATATATATATATATATATATATATATATATATATAAGGTTTATGGTTTTATGTTAGAAAATAAATCTGTATCTGAGTTTCTGCAAATAAGAGATTTTGGTTTATTAATATAACTTGCGCTTAAACTTAACTTATTTACATTATTTACATGATTTGCATTACCTGCAAATAAGAGAAACAACATTTACAGCTAATATTTCACTATTTCTTAATTATGCCTCTTAATAGCTTTACAATCACTTCTCTTTGTTTAGTCCTTTGTCTAATTGATCTATAATCTAAAATCCTTTGTCTCTCTAGCCTAACCTTTCTTGCTGTAGGCCCGCGGCCCGTTTCCGGTGGGCGGGATATACGAATTTTAAGGCTGACGAAATATGATCACCACAATCATATTTCGTTATATCTCCCCTCCTGAAGTAAAGAAAACTGAGGGAATGTTAGTTTTCTTGATCATCATATATAGCTGGTACCAACTTTGTAATGTGAAACAGCGATTCTGACTTTCTTCGGTCTGTCTGTAACTTGTAGATAGAATCTGAAACCTTTTCTGTAATTGTATACGGTCCGATTTTTAATTCGTCCAATTTTTTTCTATTTAGCCTATGGCTATTCTCTACATAGACTAAATCACCTGCGTTAAATTGATGATATTTCCTGTTTCTATCGAATATTTTTTTATTGTATTCATGAGACTTTTTTGTATTCTCTAAGGCGGTTTTCCTATCTTCAAGTAGATCTCTGTGCGTTGTCTTGAGTTTTAGTTCTTCAGGAATTATTGCTGTGTTTGTACCTTCCAATAGGCATTGTGGAGAAAATCCTGTTACTGTATGTTCAGTCTTATTGTATTTTTCTACACATTCATGTGCTATTGTTGTCCAGGCAGACTTTCTCTTTTTTTCATTTATTTTACATCTTATTTTGTTTACTAGAGTTTGGTTCAATCTTTCGTTAAGTCCGTTAGAAAAAGGTGCGTTCACTGCAGTGAATGTTAGTATGATGTTCTCTTTATCCAGAAAATCTTTGAATTCTTTCGAATTTATGCCGGGGTATTGATCTGCCAGGATCATGCCTATTTTGTTGTCTGTTGTTGTATTCCGTATTAATTTTATGAAATCGTTCGCATTTTGAGTTTTTGATGTCAGGATATGGGCGTATCTTGTAAAGTGATCAACGAGCAGGTGTAAATATTTTTTTGTTGAACGAGAGCCTCCAAATCCTCCGATCGTATCTATAGAAACTATTTCATATGGATAGGTAGCCGGACCCAGCTGTGACATCAGGCCAATTTTATGTCCCCCTCTCGATTTGTTCTTTATGCAGGTCTCGCAGCTTTCACAAATTTTTTTTATATTCTGATTTAGGTTTTTCGCTTCGTAAAATGGTTTGATTTTTGTTTTCGTTTGTTTTGTTCCTATATGACAGTAGGAAGAATGTATTTTCCGTATAAACTTTTTGCTGAACTCTTCTGAAAGGATGATTTTTTCTTTTTTTTTTTACCTTTTTATAATACATGTTATGTTTGAAAATCAACGTATCTTTAATATTTTGCAATTCAGTGTTGTGCTTTTGATCGTATTCAATTTCCTCTATTTTTATAAAATTAACGGTTTTCAAGATGTCATCTTCGTTTTCATCAGGTTTCAATACCGGGTTTCGACTTAAGCAGTCTGCCTCTAAATTGTGTTTCCCTGTGTTGCCTGTACTTTATTTCGAAATTGTACTGTGATAAGTAGTACGTTAGGTCACCTAATTCCTCATCTGTTCTGGCCTTAATATTCATCTTTTCGAGGGGTTTGTGATCCGAGAATACCGTAAATTTTTTTCCTATAAGCCAATGTTGCCAGTATCTTATTGCTTCTTTTATTGCTAGACATTCTATGTAGATTGCTTTTTTCCTTTTCTGAGTTTCATTTAGCTTTTTCGAAAAATATGCCACTGGTTTTTCTTCTTTGTTTAATTGTATTTGCTTTAAGACCGCTCCGATGCCTTGTAGACTTGCATCCGTGTAGATGCATATTGGAAGTTTCGGATCAAAGATTGTTAAGATTGGCTGGGAACAGAGTAGTATTTTTATATTATCAAAAGCCTTCTGGCATTGTTCCGACCAAATGAACTTTTGCTCCTTTCTTAGTAAATTGTGTAACGGGTCTAATACAATCGAGATGTTTGGCACATATTTTCCATAAAAATTGATTTTTCCTAGAAATTGTCGGACATTTTTTCTTGTTTTAGGTATAGGAAAATCCTTTATAGAAATCACGTTATCTTTCAGTGGGCTGACTGAATTGTTTCGTATTATATGGCCTAAATATTTGACGGAATTTGCTGCAAAAGTGCATTTGGAAAACTTTAATCTGAAGCCTTCTTCCGTAATTGCTTTTAGCAGTCTTGACAAATGATTCATGTGTTCTGCAAAGTCCCTGGAAAAAACTAAGATGTCATCAATATAATTTACACAAAACTCAGCGAGCTTATGCTTTCGTATTATGTTGCTTAATATTCTTCGAAAAATGGCTGGTGCTATTTTTAAACCAAATGGTAAGCACGTCCATTGGTAATGTCCCTCTTGAGTCACAAAAGCCGTTTTTTGTCTATCTGTAATCTTTAGAGGGATTGACCAAAAAGCCGAGTTTATATCAAGTGTTGAAAATAGTTTACAATCTCTAGTTTTAACTATCAGATCTTCGATTAGTGGAAACGGTTGCGATTGAGGAATGACTATTTTGTTCAGCTCTCGAAAATCTATGCATAGCCTTTCCCTTTTACCTTCGTCTCTCTTGAGTGCCAGCGTCACTGGAGCGGCAAAAGGACTATATGATTCCTCAATCAAATTCTCTTCCAATAATTTTGCAATCTGTTTTTCTATTTCTTTCTTATCTTCTATTGAACATCTGTATGGTCTTTTGCAACAATATTTGTCGGTTGTTAAGTCTATATGGGCTTCGTAATCTTTAACCGTTCCTATATCATATTTGTCTTTGGCAAAAACCGTTTTATATTTATGAATCAATTTTTCAATTTCAGCTCGTTGTTTCACTTCTAAGTGATCAACTGATATCTGAAATTTCTTTGTATCTATATGTTCATTATAATTTATTTGATATTCATTTATAATTTCTTTTTCTTTTTTTGGAGTGTTCCTTGTATTTTGTGGATTTATTTTGTTTTCAGTTTTGTCCTCAGGGATGTCCTGAGTTATTTTCTGAGTTATTTCCAATTTCTCGTTTTGGATTAGTCTAAATTTTTTTATGCAGTCTAATCCAATTAAGAAATCATATTTGAAATTTTTTTTGTCCACTACAAAGACATCCATATTCTCTTCCATTTCAAAAATTTTTATTTTCATAGTGACTATACCGTCTACATTTTTTACACCATTAATCGTTGCCAAGCCAACACTCCTTGCATTCTTGACTCTTTTCTTTGGTTTGCCCAATAGTTTTGAATTTAACAAGGAGACATTTGAGCCAGAGTCATAGATGCCTACAGTCTCAATCGTGTTGTTTAGCAGAATTTTTATTTTGATTAATGGTGGCACAACTAGTTTTTTTGGTCGACCTCATTTAATTCCAATTCCAATTCGGAGTTATTCACGTGTTTAATTTGCTCCCTCTTTTTTTGTTCGTTGTCTTTTTTGTTATACCAGCATAGAGCTTCTGGGTGAAAACGGTTTCCTTTGTTTTTCTTTTCACAAATCGCACATGGCTTGCGACTAATGGAGCCATCCTTCGGTTTTTTTTCTTGGTTGGTTGTTGTTTTTCTTTCTGTATTTTTTACTAAATATTCGAGGCCTCCAATCTCGTTAAACAAATTTTCGACGGTTTTTAATTTCTCTCTATCTATTCTATTTCTTACAAAGTTGGGTAATCCTACCACAATGAGATTAATCATTGTAGTTTCTGACATCGTCGTGTCGGTTTGTATTAGAAGATATCGTTTCCGGACCGCATAGTCTAACAGTAAACCAGCTGTATATTTATACAATATTGCATTGGTAACTGAGAGCCATCCTTTATCCGTATAGGTTTCACAAAATTTTTGTTTCCATTGTGACCATTCTGAATCTATTGTTAGACTTGCAAGCATCGCACTATACCAGTCCATACATGCGTCTTCCAGAAACAATCTAACGGTCTCAATTTTATCTGCGTCTCTTTCGATGCCGTGTGCATTCACTTTCAAACGTATTTATCCATTCAGGCGCATTACAATTTTTACCTGTAAATTTTTTTAGTATAAATTTCTCTGATAATTTTTTTAGATTTTTCCTTCCTGAATCTTCGCTGCCTTGTTGTTTTGCGAACTTTTCCAGAATCCTTGTTAGCATCTCTTCTGAAAGGTTCAACGATGGTGTTGTCCCTTGTTCTTGTGGAGTAGCTGGTTTTTCATTTGATACCTCCTCTAATACATAATCTTTGAATATCATGTTTCCTGCTTCGTCTTTGTACAGTTTCGAAATGTCTTTTGGTAATCTAATGTGTATATTTCGGGTTTGTCCTCTCTTCTTCAAGGTATTTTGTATTTGCCTGTAAGATGTAGTAGATGCTAGCTCTTTATGATGATCCATCGTCTGATATTGTTCAGGCATGATATAACTTTTATTGTCTTGTGTTGTTATTGAGGTTAGGACAATCACGTTTGACTTTGGGTCCTCGGCGTATGCTTTTACGATAAATGTAAATTTTAATGTGTCCATATTTGATGTCTTGAATTAGCGATAAAAATGTTGTTTTATAAGGTTTATGGTTTTATGTTAGGAAATAAATCTGTATCTGAGTTTCTGCAAATAAGAGATTTTGGTTTATTAATATAACTTGCGCTTAAACTTAACTTATTTACATTATTTACATGATTTGCATTACCTGCAAATAAGAGAAACAACATTTACAGCTAATATTTCACTATTTCTTAATTATGCCTCTTAATAGCTTTACAATCACTTCTCTTTGTTTAGTCCTTTGTCTAATTGATCTATAATCTAAAATCCTTTGTCTCTCTAGCCTAACCTTTCTTGCTGTAGGCCCGCGGTCCGTTTCCGGTGGGCGGGATATACGAATTTTAAGGCTGACGAAATATGATCACCACAATCATATTTCGTTATATATATATATATATATATATATATATATATATATATATATATAGAGAGAGAGAGAGAGAGAGAGAGAGAGAGAATACTTAATTTGTACTTATATAAACATACATCACAATATTGACTGAAATGCGCAGATCACGAATATATATTTATTTAACAAAATATGAATAAGAACAATTCTATTTTATATTTTCTTTTTTACTTTAAAACGAAAAATGATTATAAATTTTTCGACATTTTTCATCAAGAAATATCAATATGTACGTAATGAATGCAAATTAATTAAGATTCAGTATATGTTAATATTTATATTCATTTGATAATATTTATTAGATATTTCATTATTTACACATTCACTTATATTTAATAATATAAATTACTGTTTAAAAATATTGAAGAAAATCTTAATTTTTTCGAATATATTATAATATCAAATCAAAAAATGAATACGTTATAATATTATAAATATTATAAAATTCTTTATCTCTTCCTCGATTATATTTTTCAAATATAATCTTTTGGCTAAAGGAAATGCACAAATACAATTTTAAAAATTAAAATAATTGATTGTATAAATATAATAAAACCAAACTTTATAATTTGCACATGAACAGACTTATTTAAACAATTTATTATTTTTATTCTTTCAACGAGTATCATACAAACGAGTTCTGAGAAACTCAAAAGCGAATAAATGCATTTATGTTGGATAATTCAAACGAACATTTAGATGAATAAGAAAATCTCTTTATCTTTAAAACTATCCTTATCTTGGAACATTATTTCTTGCAGTGTACCATCATAAATATTACAGTAGCAAATCCAGTACATATAAACCAATTAATACTCCATTTTCTATCCAGTATGGCACTGGCAGTTTAACTGGATTCCTATCTTCTGATGTAGTAAATGTAAGTCATCATGGAACAATTCAAGTTACAACTACAGTCATAGTTTATAAACATTTCTCAAGTATTTTTTTTACATTTGAACGTCACGATTTATTAATTATAGGTTGCCGGCCTCCCTATTAAAGATCAAGGATTCGCAGAAGCCGTCGAGCAGCCAGGTGATACGTTTGTTTATTCAGAGTTTGACGGTATCTTGGGCATGGGTTATCCCGAAATATCCGAGGATGGAGTGACGCCTGTCTTCGTAAACATGGTTAATCAACACTTAGTAGAACAACCTATTTTTAGCTTCTATCTGAGTCGGTTGGTATCTTCCTTCCATACGCACAGCGCATGTGTAAAAATGTTTAAATAAAATATATTTTATAATTTACAAAATATACAAAATATATAGAGACTCTTCAGCCGAGAAAAGTGAACTGATATTGGGTGGTTCTGATCCCAATCATTATGAGGGTAACTTCACATACGTTCCTGTTACTCAGAAAGGATACTGGCAATTTACTATGGATAGGTATATTTTCTAAATTACGATTGATCAAGTTGCAACAAATTATTATAACGTTATTATGTTCTAGTGTCTCGATAAGTGGTTACCAGATAACTGAAAACACCCAAGCTATTGCTGACACAGGTACTTCTTTATTAGTTGGACCAGATAATCACATTGCTCTTATGAACGAATTAATTGAAGCTGACGAGAATGGATTTGTAAGTAACAATTTTTCACATTGGTATAGCCTTCCAGTACAAAAATCATAAAATAAAACACTGAGAACAAATTGTTACATATATATATATACATATATACATACAATATATATGTATATATTTGTTAAATTATTAACTAATAATTTAATATTATCTTTTGTTCAAAGGTGAATTGTGATAGTGTTGACGAAATGCCTGCAATTAGTTTCGTTCTGAGTGGTGTGCCACACTATCTTTTCCCTCACGATTATATTCTTCGAGTGAGTATTATGGATCGGTAATTTCCATTTAAATTATATGAGAATATAAGATTTTCACATTGTGTTTAACTTTTTACAGGATGTAGAGTATGACCAGCAGATATGTTACAGCGGCTTTCAATCAAGCGGATCTGATTCATCTGAATCATCTGAGGCGTCAGGTCCGGCATGGATTCTTGGTGATGTATTTTTGCGTCCTTTTTATAGCGAGTATGATATGGGAAATAATCGAGTGGGATTCGCTCATTCGAAATAAAAGCTGATCGTTTTGAAAACGACTAATTTGCTATATATATATAAATGACCTCGCAAATAATTAAAATTACTTTTGATTGCTTATTTGATAATTTTTAATTATATTCCTGCGGTGTACTCTCTGTTAAAAAGGATATTTGTGATACATTCAAAAATTAAAACATATTGTTCGAAGTATCGTCTTATGAGGCGATTCCCATGGCGACATCCGAAGGACTTGGAACAAAAGACCTTACGCATACCCCTTCGCACACATGTCTTTTCGTTACACATGTCCCTTTGGTCACACATGTTTCTCTACCACTTTAGTCTTGTCTTGTACCGTGGACACGCTCACATCGTGCCGTTTACTAATAAAGCAACGATTACGGAATCTCGGCATATTTAATCTCATTCCACTCCCTGTATATTGTCCCTGCATCGCGGCCTCATCTTCATATTAACAGGTTATGGGCCCAGGCTTTATCGCAATCAAGGGACAAATTAATTAACAGGCAGTAGACGCCAGACAAAGAGGAAACATGGCGTCATCGTCCGCAAGGATCGAGTTGCTTAACAAAGAAAATTTCGACACGTGGAAAATCCAAATGGAGGCGCTTCTCATCAAAAACGATGCGTGGAATTATGTGAACGGAAATACAGTCAAACCGGAACTTATCGCCGGGAGCCAGGAGTCTGCTATAGAAGTGAGAAAATGGGAAACGGCAGATCAGAAGGCCAAGTCCGACATAATTCTTTCAATAAGCCCGACTGAATTAAAACAGATGAAAGGCTGCGGTACATCGAGAGAAGTGTGGAATAAGCTTTCGTCAATTTATCAATCCAAAGGTCCTGCCAAAAAAGCCACACTGTTAAAGCAGTTAACGGTACAGCGAATGGGAGACGACGAAGACGTTCGCGAATATTTGTGCAAGTTTTTCGATACAGTGGACAAGCTCAGTGACATGGAAGTGAATATCAATCCCGATTTGTTAACAGTGATGTTACTGTATAGTCTTCCACAGAATTTCGAAAACTTTAGATGTGCTATCGAATCGCGCGACGAATTGCCCGCACCGGAAACGCTTCGCATCAAGATCATAGAAGAACACGACGCCAGGAAGAACGACGCACGTGCTTCGTCCCAGGGCGCCATGATCGCCAGACGCTTCGATAAAAATAGGAGTATGAAAAGCAAAAAGGAAAATACATCGCAGAAGAAACCTTTCAAATTTAAATGTCATCGATGTGGAAAAATCGGACACAAGACATCCGATTGTTATTCGAAAATAGAGACAGATAAAGCGTCTAAAGGGAGCTCCGAAAAAGGAAAGATGGCTGACGACGTGTGTGTCTTCGCATGTGCACCAATGAAGATCCTGGATGAAGCGGAAGTGTTCCAGGCGAAGGAAGCTATCCAAGACAAACCATGGTGTTTAGATAGCGGATGTACCTCTCATTTATGTAGCGATTCGGATATATTTACGCATCTTGCAAAGATCAAGGATAACAAGTTAAATCTTGCAAATAATTCGTCAACGATGATAACCGGAAAAGGAACTGTACGTCTCGAAGCGGAAGTCGATGGTAATTCTAAACATGTTAATTTGAGAAATACCCTACACGTGCCCGATCTGCGCACAAATCTATTGTCGGTAAGCAAGATTACCGACGGAGGATTCAAAGTTATCTTTGAAAAGAAATCGGCAAGGATTATCGATCGTGACGGAGTCACAAGACTCGCGGCTAATCGTATCGACGGACTGTATTATCTACAGGAAGGTAGACATGATTGCCGGGCTGCGGGTGTAAATAAATTCGATCGAACCTTCACTGAATCGTCGACGGAAATATGGCACCGCAAGATGGGTCATCTTAATATAGGAGATCTTTTAACGTGCAATCACGAAGGAATCATACGCGGTATGAAAATCGTAGACGCCGAACGCGATTTCAAATGTGAAATATGTATTCGCGGTAAGATGACGAAGACTACATTCCCAAGGAAATCAAACAGAAAGACTGAACTCTTGGAATTAATACATTCAGATGTATGCGACCCCATGAAGCCTGAATCGATCGGAAAGTCAAGATATTTTGTGACTTTTATTGATGATCATTCGCGATGGTGTGTGGTTCGAATGCTCAAAAGCAAAAGCGAAGTATTTAACGCCTTCAAGGAATTCAAGGCATTAGTCGAAAATCAGACCGGACGCAGGATCAAGTGCTTGCAATCGGACAATGGCAAGGAATACGTCAATCGGGAGTTCGACGATTTTCTAAAGAGAGAAGGAATCAGACGCAGACTGACGGTGACACACACTCCGGAACAGAATGGAGTTGCAGAGAGGAAGAATAGGACCCTCGTTGAAATGGCCCGATGTCTGCTGATTCAATCGAATCTCTCACCATCATTCTGGGGAGAGGCCATTAATACGGCAAATTACATACGCAACAGATGCCCGACTAGTAGTCTCGGCGGAAAAACCCCGCACGAAAAACAGGCGACACGCCGAGCGTCGGATACTTTCAAGATTTTGGCTGCTCAGTGTATTTCCTGGATAGAAATCCGAACAAGGAAAAATTCCAGTCACGATCCAAAAAGGGGATCTTCGTCGGATACGCTGAGAACTCTAAGGCATATAGGATATGGATTCCGGACGAACACCGAATAGACATTACGAGAGACGTAGAATTCATGGAAGTGCCGGAATCATCGAGCCAAAAAGGCAACGAACGCTATCTTGACAAAGAACTCACCAACGATCGAACAGAAGTCGAGTTTCCAATAGTAAGTGAAAGAAATGAAGACCGGGAAGACGACGTTGATGACACGATCGAGGGCGACCATTCGGTTGAAGACCGGGAGGTTCAAGCTCCCGACTTACGGATTGAAGCAAGAAGAGGACGTGGAAGATCTCGAAGAGTGATGACCGGATTCAGGGGAAGACCCAAGAAATAGTATCAAGTTACAGGCAACTATGCTGAAGAAACAGAACTCACTATGACCGATGAAGCAGACGATGCTGACGAGACAGAATTCGCAGCGACCAACGAAACAGAGGATTTCGAGTTCTCGTATCTCGCTGAAGTATCAATCAGCGAATGCTTGAAAGGGCCTGAAGCGGCTGAGTGGATCGACGCGATGGCTGTAGAAATGAAAGCTATCATCAGAAATGATACCTGGACGCTAGTGGATCGCCCCAAAGAGCGCGAGGTTATCGGCAGCCGCATCGTATTGCGTAATAAGATGAATCAAGACGGATCTCTAGAACGAAGAAAGGCTCGTATAGTTGCTCGTGGTTTTTCACAACGCCCCGGCATAGACTTCAATGAGACTTTTGCACCGGTCGCACGTATCAGTTCAATTCGCATCATATCTGCTCTGGCGGTTCAATACAACTTGAAGATACACCAGCTGGACATCACGACGGCATATCTATATGGGGAACTTGAAGAAAAGATTTACATGGAAGTTCCAAAATTTTCTGTTCAGATTCTAGAGAGAATAATTGCCTCCGAGAAAGACAAAAGAATCGTCGAAAAGGCTAAAAACATGCTATGCAAGTTAAAGAATGGAGATAAGGTTTGCTTATTAAGAAAGGCTCTCTATGGACTCCGACAAGCCGGTCGTCGCTGGCATGTAAAATTGTCTCAGGAGATTAAAAATTTTGGATTAAAGCAATCTTCAGCCGACCCCTGCGTATTTTTCGCTGGAAAGGACGAAGACATAATTATCGTCGCCGCGTATGTCGACGACATCCTGGTGGCTTCTCGAGATCCATCCAAAGTTGCCAAATTTACTAAATATCTTTCTAGCAAATTTCAGGTCAAGGATCTAGGAGAATTAAAATACTGTCTAGGCATCGAGTTTTCTCGAAGCAAAGACAACGTTACGATGATCCAGAGAGGATACATTAAAGATATTCTAAATCGATTCGGAATGGAGGACTCCAAGCCCGTAGCTACCCCGCTAGACAACAGTATCAAACTGAAGAAAAGCGAGAACTGCCCTGCGACACACCTACCATTTCGAGAACTAATCGGTATGTTAACGTACTTAGCTACCTGTACTAGACCCGATATCGCTTTTGCAGTGAGTCATCTCAGCCAGTTCAACAACTGTTTCGACGAAACGCATTGGAAAGCAGCGAAACGCGTATTGCGTTATTTGAGAGGAACTTCGAATGTTGGTCTATCCTTCAGAAGAACCAAGGAGCATCTCTCAGGTTACACGGACGCTGATTGGGCCAACAATTTAGACGATCGACGTTCCTACACAGGTTACGCGTTCTTATTGAACGGATGTCCCGTATCTTGGGAATCCAGGAAGCAGAGGACCACAGCTCTTTCGTCGACTGAGGCCGAGTACATGGCCATTTCAGACACCGTGAAGGAAGCAGTATATCTTCGAAGGTTCATTGACGATCTTGGTTTTGAACTGCCGACAAAGTTAAAGATCTTCAATGACAATAATGGAGCTCGGAAATTGACTGAAAATCCGGTATTTCACGCCAGAACAAAACATATCGATGTTCGTCATCACTATGTACGTGAAGTATTGCAAAGTGGAGCTCTGGAAATAGATTACACCCCTACGGCGGAACTAATGGCGGCTGATGTTCTCACCAAGGGTCTCGCTAGACTGAAGCACGAGAAGTGTCTCGATCTTTTAGGTCTTAAACGCATTTGATTACGTTTTTTTTTTCTTTGGTAGGATATCGCACGCTCATCGAGGGGAAGTGTTCGAAGTATCGTCTTATGAGGCGATTCCCGTGACGACATCCGAAGGACTTGGAACAAAAGACCTTACGCATACCCCTTCGCACACATGTCTTTTCGTTACACATGTCCCTTTGGTCACACATGTTTCTCTACCACTTTAGTCTTGTCTTGTACCGTGGACACGCTCACATCGTGCCGTTTACTAATAAAGCAACGATTACGGAATCTCGGCATATTTAATCTCATTCCACTCCCTGTATATTGTCCCTGCATCGCGGCCTCATCTTCATATTAACACATATATACCTTCCATGAATAATTTGATATATATATATATATATAT